CCACATGTGAAGAGTATTGTACTGAGCCTGTGAGGTGAAAAAGGTTAAGTTATTAATAATATTAATAAGATCTATGGAGTTATAATGTTATTATAAACAGATTTATTGATAAAACTAGCATTTTCAGAGTTTGGAGATTTCTGTATGAAGTCAGGAATATTTAGACTGTGTCAAGTGAAAGTGGAAGGAAAGGATATTTCAAATGTTGTGAAAACTAAATATTTGGAGTCCTGTGGGTAAAGATATTGTTAGGTTGGTAGATGCTACAATCATTCCTCATTTCCTCTGCACACACCTCTGTGCAATATGTGGCTTTGCAGACCCTTATTAAGAGGTAGAGACCCCCTCCCCCACCATTTGTATACCTGGAATGGCCTCATGACTGGCTTTGACCAAAAGAATGTGGACTGAGTACTATTTGTGACATCTGATCCTAAGCCTCAGGAGACATTCATTATACCTTCCTCTCCCTGTTTGAAAGGTGCTGCCTTTTCGTGAGGAACCTTGGAATAGCCTCCTAAGGGTGAGACCAATGGCCTGACATGATCTTCCAGCTGAGCCCCCCCAGATGAACCAGCCCCTAGTTGAACAGCCATGTAGATAATCACAGATGAGACAAGCAGAGGAACTTCTCAGCTGAGCCTGGCCCAAACAGAATTATGAGGAAATATAAATGCTGTCTTAGACCACTCAGTTTTGGGGTACTTTGTTAGGCAGTGATAACTAACACAATTATTCGAAATGCCAGCGTGCAGGGTGACGTCGAGTAAAAGGACCGACAATTTGTGATCTTGTGTTTTTTCCTCTTAAAAGTTCTATTTAACCCATTTTCAGCTTTTGATCAACCATTGTTAGATACTACATAGTTATGAAAGCTCAGCATTACCAACCTACCATGGGCAATTCTTAAGGCATTTTAATACTAGCCCACACTGCTATAGGGCTGTTATTACTTCCCTGTGTTTGATGGCACCTCTCTTTCCGGTCTGGCTTCCTCTCTTTGTGGACTGAAAATCCTAAGGGTCTTTCATTTGTTGGTCTTTGAATCTCCAGTTCTCAGCATAATGCTTCCCACATGTAGTGGATTCGGTGGGTTATTATTGATCAACCGGGTACATCTCTGTTGTGCTCGTGCCAGAGTCCACGGTCTTTGCTGGCAGGTAACTCATTCTCTGACTCTAGGATCCAGATAACTGCCTGGTCCGTGGCAGATAATCAATACCTGCTTGGGGATTGACTGATACCTTTTGCTTATTTCTCTAATCTCTGTCAGGGAAAAGTAGAGGAAAGTTATATATAAAAATAAATGATTTTACTTTTGTGGGTGCCAAGAAAGTGCCACGTGGATCTATCTATCACCTTCAACGAGTTCCTAGCTCAGACCTCTGCATGGTAGATGGTAAAGTGACTGTAAGTACTTCACGCCTTCTTCAGCGAGGAGGGGGGCATCGTTTCAGACAGGTGAATGTAAAGCACCTTTAAAAACCCTCAACTTCTGCATATATTTAAAAGAGGTACATGCATTACAAGGGGGCTCCTTCTTACAAAAGCTAATGCTTCCTGCTCTGTGATAAACAGACAGCACCTGACAGTTCATGTTGCTCTTAGGACTCATCAGTGTCCCTTCCGCTCTTTATTAGAACAGGTGACTTTAGGAAGCTGACCTCCCCTGTGACAGTGGCATGGACCAGAAGAACTCTGGGGGAGATGTGGGGACATGTTGCCTTGCTTCAGCTCTGAAAGTGAGCAGAGGCACAGCCAAGCAGTAGGGGAGAGCCAGCAGGGTTCTAGACATTGTCCTGTTGTGCTCAACAGAATCCCATCAGGCCTTCTTGGATTCCCTATTAGGTTTTTTAAAGTGACAAAACAGACCTCTGATCTGAAGGACAGAGGACAGTGAGTGACATGTGACATAGAGACTGCTCACGTGCCTATTAGGCGTCATACAGTTTATGTAGTTGAACCTTTGGGGTTGAGGTAAAGGGGTCAACGGTGGAGATTTAGTAAGGATCTAGAAGCAGATGCTCTCTCCAGGGGTTTGCATGTTCTGATGACCCCCCAAAAAGCTGTTGAATGCACATGATTCATCAGCATCAGGCTGGTGAAGGAGGGGTTTGGAGACAGGCTACCTCTGAAGATGTAAAAGCATTCTTTTATGAGATTAGTGTAACCGGAAGCCTAAAATACATTGTCAGGCTCACTTAGGTTGTGAGATTTAGATGTCTGAAATAGAAAATTATAAGTTTGCTGGATGTCCTAATTTCAGTATGTGCTGAGGGGATAAGCATCATATGCAAAGATTTTTTGGGGGGAAGTACAGTTTGCTGACCCCAGCATGCTGGGAGTAGACCAGAATTCTAAATCTCACAGGTGTTTGCTTTTGGCTGATATTAAGAATAGTACTTCCAAACTTTTTTGGGGGGTTGTTCCTGCCTTTGGCTACTGTAAATAGCATTGCTATTAACATCCATATGAAAGTTTTTATTTACGCACCTGTTTTTAGTCTTTTGGGGTATATGCCTTAGGAATGGAATTGCAGTAATTCTACGTTCAAATTTTTGAGGAAGCACCAAACTGTTTTCCACACTGGCTGAAGCTTTTCACGTTCCCACTAGCAATGGATGACGGTTTTGATTTCTCGACATCTTTGCCAACAGTTGTTACTTTCCATTGTTTTGATTATAGCCATCCTAGTGGGCGTGAAGTGGTAGCTCATTGTGGTTTTGATTTGTATTTCCCTAATGAATAATGATGTGGAACATCTTTTCATGTGCTTGTTGCCATCTGTAAGTCTTCTTTGGAACAGTTATCTATTCAAGTACTTGGCTCATCTTGTGATTGTCCTTTTGTCATTGAGCAGTACATAGCTTGCTATTTTCTGTTCTTGTCCTTTAAGAGTGACATTGTGCAGCATGTCCTTGCTTGTCGTGGACTCTTTTCACACAATATTATGTTTGGATTCTTCATGTATGCTAACTGCTCCCTTATTGCCCACTTTGCATTCACAGTTTATTTTCCTTTATGCTTCTGATGGGCATTTCATAGTTTTCAGTTTTTGCCTATTCCAAATCATGCTGCAGTAAAAATTCTAACATGTCTCATGGTGAGCATTTCTATTCATGTCTGTTGGTGCTGGTAGCTATCAGAGGATTGACTGATAGCAGTTTATACCACAAGCAATTAGTCTGAGTGATCTGGAGCCTTGGACACAGCTGTGATCCATAGGTTATTATTTCTTTTTTTTTTTTAAAGATTTTATTTATTTGACAGAGAGACACAGAGAGAGTGGGAACACAAGAGGGGGAGTCGGACAGGGAGAAGCAGGCTTCCCACGGAGCAGGGAGCCCGACGTGGGGCTCGATCCCAGGACCCTGGGACCATGACCTGAGCCGAAGGCAGACACTTAACGACTGAGCCACCCAGCACCCCCATAGGTTATTATTTCTAACATAGAATTTCCTTAAACAAGAGACTCTTGACACTCCTTAGCAAGCCATCACCTCTCGTTACATCTGAAAGTGTGTTGACGTGCAGCTGTCTGCACCTCCAGGGGATAGGGGTCTCTAAGGCCAGAAACAATGTCTTGCCTTCATTGGTTCCTCTGTCACAAATGGGATTTTACCTTCTCTGGAGTTGATAGATGCAGTGGAGATTTATGGGCCAGACAATTATGGAATATTGATAGAATGAAAGATCTCCCTTGGTAAATATCTTAAGACTTGCTAAGACATGGTGTTTTCTTTCCTTTTTGCTTGTCCTTAGAACTATTTGCTCTGTACTTTCTTAGATTACTGTATGGAGTGCTTTTATCTGTAACAGATCAGCATCTTCAACTCCAACTGCACGTGGAGGTCCAGAGTATAGCTATTCTGTAGTCAGTGTCTTTCTGCTAGTGCCAGGCATTTATTTCCATAGTTCTTTAAAGATGGCTTAGATTATCTTATTAGTTATTTTATATTAGTTATTTCATCAATTCTAAAGTAGATAAAGCTCTAAAGCTAATTGATGGATTTGCCTTCACTTCCTTCAGTGTAACTAAGAACATCAATACTATTCTCTTTTCTTATTAGATTAGAAGATAAAAAACACTTCTGGATTTATAGTGTGAAGGGACAGGGCATATGATGTCTTTATGATTATCTTTTATTTTGTTTGCCACTAATGAAGAGACTGAATAAGATTTCTTCAGAAGAAAAAAATATCCAAATAACAATGTACTTTGGCTAGGAAAGCTTTTCTTAAAATTCTCACTTGGCCTTCTGAGTTTGTTATTTTTGGAAGTTCTATTCCTGTGACTTTAAAAACATTTCTCTACCAATTATGACCATATGATATAGATGAGGTAGTTATTTAGTCCATTTATAAACCCTTTTCTGTCCTGGTTTAGTTGTGTTGTGTTCTAAATCATTTAGTAGATTAATGCATGTGCTGCCTGCTCTTAGAGATAATCTGGCATAGTGAAAGATTGGGGGTTTTTAGAATTGGACAGACTGGTTCTCTTCTTTATTGTTGGAGTGTCCACAGACAACTTACTTAATCTCCCTGAGTCTTAGCCTCTGCATATTTGAAATAGAAATAATAACATTTGCCTTGGAGGGTTGCTATGAGTTAAACACCATTAACAGAAGCAGTACAAAGAGCCTGCCACACAGTAGTCAAGAAAGAATTGCCTTTCCTTGCAAAAGTGTGCCATGCACACAGGAAAGAAACAAGGTGCCTGATAAGAAGAAACACTAGGGGTGCCTGGCTGGTTCAATTAGGAAAGCATGCAACTCTTGATCTCGGGGTGTGGGTTCGAGCCCCACGTTGGGTGTAGAGATTACTAAAACAATAATAGAAATTTAAAAAAACAACACTAAACTTTTACAGGTTTGAAGGAAATCCTGGCTTTAGTCAGGATTCATGTTAACATGGGTGGGTGATCAATGTCTTCATGCAGGAAGGCTTAATCTGGGCCAGCCCTGCAGTGCTGAGCACACAATGGGGTTGTCTCCCCTCACTTCCGCTTCCGGAACAGGTGCTCCTGGGGTCGGACACCCTGGGCGGTGGGGGGGGGGGTAGAATTGATGTTAGCAGAAGGGAACCTAGAAGGGTAAATGTCTTTCGAATGTTTCTATAAAAATGGGCAATTTACTTTGCAAGGTACCCTTGGTGACTGGGTTCTCCCATTTTGGAGGACGAGGGCAGGCATGAGGAATAGCAGTTTTTCAGGAGACAGAAGGCTTCCATTTTTTTTCCTTTTATCTCACTTGTACAGAGACTCTGTCTCCCTCAGGGGCATATAGAGTAAAAAGACCTCCTAAAAATCAACCAGGCCAGAACTGCTCCAAGTTTTGGAGCAAGAGAAGTGCTTGGCAATGTGGCAGCTGTAGGCAGAACTTCTCCTGGGAGCCCTGAGACCCACCATTGTCCTATTACATTCAACGAGCTCTTCAGGCTCTTGTCCTGGGAACTGTTACTGGAACAAGGGCCAGAGTGAACCTGCTCCCCGGTGAGCGAGAGACAAAAGTCTTCACCAGTTGGGGTCACCTCACGAGGTCGCCTTTATTTGTACAAACAAGGAGATCATGGGAATCATTTCCAAAGCCGTGACTCCCCAAACAAGGGAAAGCAGGCTCCTTTCATTAGGGTTTGGGATGAATATTCAGGAGGGGATTTTAACATTATAATGAGGCTGAGGGAACGGTTGGTCACTTCTGGCACTTTCTGATTCATCTGGGTTAGGGGTCTTCCTCAAATATTTTCTGTTCTAGCCATTCATTTGTTTCTAAAAGGTAACATTGACAGGCAGAACTTTCTAGTAGAAATTTCCTAGTTCAGGGGGTCCTGCCAGTGACAGAACTGGGGTTCTTGCTCTATTGACTTGGGGGCCCTGCCTGTGTCATCATACCTTTTCATTGGTCCTTCTTTCATGGTTTTGCAAATAGAATTCAACCAAAACAACATGTACATAGAAAAATATGCACCATCAGAAGTTAATTCCAAGCTGTCATCATCCCGCTGCATTTTAGGAAGGTATTTTAGACTTTTTAAGGTGCTGGTACCTGCTGCCTTGTTCTTTGGTGATGGGTTGGGGCCATGGTTTCTGTTTGTTGCTGAGTCCATTGCATATTCTGAGCCACTACTCTCCATATGAGCTAGGGGACTGACAGGAAGTTTCAAGAAGCTATGTGACTCTTGTAGTAAGATGCTGGACAAAACCTGTTCAAGGGGCGCCATGTTTCTACCTAGGAACTCCCAGACCCAGTGAGCCCCACCTGGAGGTGAGTTCTTTTTCTTTCCTGAGGATGCTCCTGTGCTCTATTCTTTCCATCTTTATAAGTAATTCTACCCTGAAATTGGGAAGACATTTCAGTTATGGTTCTGGCCACACATTGGGTGATTTGGACATTGCTTCAGGCCCTGTGTCCTGACCACTTTACTAGAATGGACTTGGGCATCATTCCCGAAGGAGTGGCTCTTGGTTATTTGACAACTGGAAAAGGTGATGTGTACAATTCTTACTTCCTTGGGATAGAATTTCATGTGGGCTATGTGATCCCAGGGTCTTGGTTCCCTGGAAATCATTCCCTCCAAATTCTCCAGTGGCAGAATCATAATTTACTTCACTTTTTTCCTAGTGAAAGATTTTTCTCTGTAATGGAGAATTAAATACTATTGATGATCCACTAGCCTAGTACAGTAAATCATATAAAGGTGGTTATATTATTATAGTTGCTGTTTGTCCTATACATTTGGTGATTATTGATTTAGTGCCTACCATACATCAGGCACAATTCTTGGCACCAGGCATACGATAGTAAACAAAATGGCCCAAGTTACCTGCCCACAAAGAGCTTTATGATAGGTAGTACTCTTATTTTATGGAAGAATAAACACAACTCAGAGAGTTTCTGTGACTTATGTCACTACCATTAGGTCGTCATCAGTGTTTGGATTTAAACCCAAGACTTATCTTAAAGCTAAGATTCCATTGATTTGTTTTGAAATGTGTAAGCGATCCAAATTATGCATATAAACAATCACCTTCCATGGGAGAAAATTAGTATAAATATCATTTGAATTAAAAAACAAAGGAAGAACAAATTCTTACTCAAATGTTAGATTTGTTCCTGACTTTGGTCTTAACTGAAGCAAATGAAAACTTTGGCACTGATTATCCTTTCTTTCACTATGGTATGAATACTGGAAAAGTGGAAGGAAACCTGTTTTAGAGGATCTGCCAAATAGGGAAGTAATGGGGACAGGCAAGCTCATGTCAGCCAGGGGGTGTCATCCAGTCGAGGGAAAATCTCACTCACCAGTCAGGAATGAGTTGCTGACCCTCACAGGAAGCAAGGTGTTGTGGAAAGACCCTGCAGAGGAATTCAAAATACCATCACATCTGCCTAATATGAGAGAATTTTCTGAGGGCCAGAAAAATAAAATTAATAGGAGAAAAGTTATTTTTCCTCCTAGGCATTTGATAGGAACGAGAAACTATTTCTTTGGACTTAACAGTTGAAATAGGTCACTAGTTGCTTAGCAGGGACATGATGCTGTGAATACCCATGCTGTCTGTCCTTCACAGCCCCCTTGCTTTTCTAGAATAAAGATGGACTAGGATTAATTGATAATTAGGCCATGGTTTTTCCTGTCTTGGTAATTAATGTCCTGTCTCCTTGCAAGGCTGTTTGATACAATACCCTATTTCCATATCTGAGGACTTAGAATAGCATGGGAAGGCTTTCTGACAAGCAAAAAAAAAAAAGTTGTAATAACCATAAACCTATAATATTAAAAGGGATGAGGTTTTTTTTATGATTTCTGCTTTGTTCAGTATGATGTTTTAGTCTTCAAGGGGAGGGGGCTCCAGTTTTCAAGGTGAAAACAGAACACATTTCACTGGAAAAACAAAGGGATAAGGAGAAAATCATATATTTTCCCTTGGCGGCTGGCAAAAATCAATTCTACTTCAACAATGCTTTAAAAACATTCCTGTTTTAAAATAAGGTCTAGAGCCATGTTGAAATTTCATAGTGGCAATCTGGAAAAACTATTAAAGAAGGCAAAAAGGGCAGTTTTTAAAATATTTTTCATTTTCCATCATAAAATCCCATTTTGGCTTAACAGCAAATAATCTCGTCAATTCCAGATTTCCCCATTCATTGAGGAAACTTCCGTCAATGCAAAGTTTTGCAAGTTCTTTGTGCAACTGTTGTGTGAGGGGCTAATGGCCATTATGGCGTGGGGAGCTGGTGAGGGGTAGAAAGGAATCACCAGTCCATGCCTTTGGTACCATAATACCATGTCTCGACATTGTGATACCATTTTCCCACATTGTCCCGTGACACAAAGGTGTCCAGGTCACCTTGGGCTGGTCAGTGTGGGCGTTCTCTCAGGTCCCTCTGAGTCTTCTGGAATTGGCATCTACTTCAGAATATTGTTTGTTTTACAACTCACTGCTTCTGTAATGCCAAGAGCATTACATTTTTGGGCCTGCCTGCCTTCCACCTACCCCAAATGGCAGTTCTGTGTCTCATATTTCTTTCCTTTTTTTTTTTTAAGATTTTATTTATTTATTTATTTATTTATTTATTTATTTATTTATGAGAGAGAGAGAGAGAGAGCATGGAAGCATGAGTGGGAGGAGGAGCAGAGGCAGAGGGAGAGAGAGAATCTCAAGCAGACTCGGGGCCGAGTGCAGAGCCTGATGTGGGGCTCAATGCCACAACCCTGAGATTATGACCCTAGATGAAACCAAGAGTCAAACATTCAACCAACTGAACCATCCAAGTGCCCTTCTCATATTTCATTTGAGGGGTGAACATGAATGGAGAAGGAAACCGGCATTGACTTGGAGCTCAATACTCTTCCAACATCCACAAGGCAGAATGCCTTGGGCCATTTTGTTGATCCATGGGAACCTCCATAAAATGCCCCCAGCAACTGCCTCATAGGGGAGAGGTTAAGTGAGGTGACTCTGGAGGAAACATGTGGGCTTCTGAGGTGGTCAGCGCATGGCTGCTACTTCTTTCCTTCTCGTACAGTTGTCTATCAGGGGACCAGGAGCCAAATCTCAGGTGGAATCTTGGGGTTAGGATGATCCTGATGTCTTCTCCCTTCATAAACTGTATCTCATGGTCTTTCTGCAGCAAAGATTCATGAAATGCTTCAAGTTATTAGAAAAAAGACTGCTAGGAAAATGCAGGATCATTAATGTGACAACAATGCTACCTCATTCAGTTTCATTCTGCCCATTCCCTAAAAATCTTTTCTTCTTCTGTCATCTTTTCCAGTGAGTGGTTATTTATTCATAAGAGACAGAGAGAGAGAGAGAGAGAGGCAGAGGGAGAAGCAGGCTCCCCGCTGAGCAGGGAGCCCCATGTGGGACTCGATCCTAGGACCCTGGGATCATGACCTGAGTCGAAGGCAGACGCTTAACCATCTGAGCCACCCAGTTGTCCAGAATTCTGCTTTTAAAAAGTTATTCTAGAACATTGCAGTATTTGGGGAAAAAAATAATATATATGTTTGTTTTTCCAATTTATTAGTCATACTACATGGGTAGGATTTAAGAATCTTCAAATGAAAAGTAAGATTAGTGGTATCTTTTAACTGCTCAGGGTTCTGCTCTGAGTTCTGTGGATTGATGCAAAAATGACACAAGACAGTGCATTTCTGTCCAGACCCAAGGATGTCCCTCTTAAGGAATCTAATATCGTGCATTTTCTGGCAGCATCCCGGTTCATGGCGAAGTATGTCTGGAACACAAACGACTAGGGATTGCTGATTATTAGAGCAATTAGCCTTTTTTCCCAATCACTGCTTGCCCAGTGGTGGCATGCAGTGGGCCCAGCCTGGCGCTCTCTGTGTCTCCTCTCCATGCTATCTGCTTCCTCTACGGAGTGGAGAAGAATCACGGCAAGCCAGCGATGGTCTTTGCTAAAGTCAAGATGGGGCTCCAGGGCAGCCCATTTCCTTATACTGAGCCTTTTCCCTCAAAAAGAAATTGGATGAAGTGGTCACAAACGTTTTCCCAATGTTTCTCAAGCTTGCTTTTAACTGTGGTGTCTGCTTGTTTCAACCATGAATCAAAACACAGTAGTTTGTTTCAATATCGTTACAGTGAAGATATCGAATATTCTTTATCTCTCCCTACACCTGTGATGACATTAACAAGACTAGAGTACTAGAATTTATTGAGCCATTTTTATTCCTACTAATAGCCCAGCAATTCCAATCAGACTGTAAGATGCTGGTTACTTTCAGCATTAAACTTATGTTACTTTCAAGTCAGGGCTGGAGCATCACATGATGGGAGAAGAGAAAATTAGGGCAGAGACGGAATAGGAAAAGAGGCCGGGATGAAATGGAACAGCTTTACAAATGAGAATATTTGAGCTATATATAATAGGGTACATTTGTCCTCATGGTTCATAATAATCACAGTATTTTCAAGGACATTTCTTTTGCTAAAGGTTCTGTTGCCTGAATAAGCATGGTTCACATTTTACTTGGTTTTAATGCAGCATTTTTTAGGATGCTTTCATATTTTCTAAACCCCAATTTTAAAAATTATTTTTGGAACTCTACACACACTCCATACTGTGGTTGGGTATGTGTGTATAGCGTGTGTATGTATGAGTGTAGGTATGTGTGTTTGTGTGTAGGTTTGTGTATGCATGCGTGGGTGCCTGTGTGTAAGTAGGTGTGTATATGTGTAAATGTGCATGTATATAAATGGGGGTGTATGTGTGTAAGTGGGTATGTCTGTGTGTGTATGTGTTTATGTATGTGTATGTTTCTGTTTTGTGTTTATATGTGTATTTTCATGTGCATTTATGCATATGTGAGTGTATATGTGTAAGTGGGTGTGTTGTACGTGCATATGTGTGTGTCTGTAACTCTTTGAGACAAATGCGACAGCTATTACAGGAGCGAAGTTTTCATGTTTATGCTTTCAGAACACTATAACCTCAACTTCCTGCACCATGTTGATTGGCAGAAATAAAGTTGCAAAACAAATGCTCTGGTTTGTACATTCTACTAACAGCATCGTATTTGTTGACAGCTCCTACTGAATTAAATGTCATTTTTTTTTTCTTGTTCTTCTGTCAGTTAAGTGGCTTCAGAAAGGTACATTTTCATTCTAGAAACCATACTAATTTAAACATCATTATAGTTCAGGTTTGGAAAATATAATAAATAGCTTCATACAAGTTTTATTGATATGCTAA